TTGACTTGAAAGTGAAAACACAGAAAGGTTCATCCTGACTAGTCTTAAATAAGCTAATTTTTTTCCATGGGATTTTGATTTCTTCTTAGCAAAATGAAAAACTGTAATGATGAACCTTCCCCCCAGGAGGTTATAAATATGCTGAGAATTACCACAGCAACTTCCCTATAAAGCTCAGGCTTCTGTGGGAAAGGGTAGCAGTGACAGCCCCAGCGGTTGGGAGGCCCTACAGTAGGTCCGTGGGTGCAAGGCAGGGGCTGTGGCTGGGACTTCACAGGATAGGAGTAGTTGCTACTGGTCTCACCTGAGTTCAGTCCAAGGCAACTTAGAGCAGCCTGTCCAGCATCCAAGAACCTTCAATTAATTACTTTTTTGCTGTTTGATATCAGAACCTAACACTTGGAAATCATAGGAGGATTTCTTATCTCTGGAATAGAGGAGCTTCTCATGTGGCACCTAAAATGGGTCACTTTTATTCTTCCCTCTTCCATGTGTTCCTGCTGCTTTTGTGGGCTCCCTCCAGGCACTTCTGCCATTGGCTTTGGGCTCTCTCCTTATGAAGACCCTGTGCCCTTCCTGGTAACCTTGCTTTTTTCTGTGTTGTCATGAGGAGTATCAGAAGGTAGTGCCATGTACAGCGTTGATGACTACTTACTGTTGGTTTCATATGTCTTTCAGTAAAATAATTAATTTGCTTTTTACAGGAGCCATTTATAAATAATGCTTAAGACAAAAATGTGAATCTCTAGCATGGACCTTTGGTGCTTCATAATTCCAAGCAATCTTTTCAGACCCTCTCACACCTCTAATAACCCTGTAAGGCTGCATTAAGATGGCTTATTAGTCCTTTTTTTTTTTTTTTTCCTTACTGTTTTAGAGCAAAAACGGCATCTGACAGCCTATATTCCCCACATTCTTCAGATGGAAAACAAAACTTAATCCAGAGGTTTGGTTTCGTTTTATCCTGTTTGTGATAGGGTCTTGTTAATTTAGGCCCAAGTGAAAAACAAATTGTTTTGTCTGAGACAGGTTGTCCTCTCACTGAGGATCCCCTGCCTCGGCCTCTGGAGTAGCTGGGGTACAGGCGTGTGCGCCACACCCAGAAAAGTTCTCATACTCGAAAGAAAAGTTGAGAAGAACACTTTATTTTCAGAGTCTGAAGCTACCCAGGAGCTCTGAGATGGGCTCTTTCGCAGGTTCACTGGGACATTCCAGTGTGGTAGCTCCAGACCTCCGATGGATGATACACTATAGCCTCTCACTCTGTTTTCTCTTCTATAAAATGGGGTTATTGAGAGGATCAAACAGGAAAAAAGGTGGAAAAGGACATGGAAACAGTTCAAATGATGCCATCAAACCACCTAACTCCTACTCACCTGTCCAGTGAAATATTTTATTTATTCTTTCTGCCCTTTCCCTGTTCTGCCCATGAATAAATTGGATACATGTACTTGGCACTAAATCGGTCCCTTTAAATTCAGATTGGAGAAGATGTCTCCTGTTAGGTCAAAGACTTTGGGTGGCTTGGCAGGAACAGTCTGGGCTGGGTACCAGTCCCATTATTCTTTTGCTTCTAATGGAAGACATAGTTCTTCATTTGTTCCCTTTTGTATTTGCTGTATTTATTGAGGATAATTATGGGCAGCATCAACATTGACAGGGAGGATTTGTCCCCCCAGGAAACACAGGAATGCCTATTATTGACTCAGAAGCTACTTCCTAGGTACCTGCTGCTTATCTAAGGCTATACCACATAGAGTTGGAGCTTGCCTGTTGATGAAGGCATTTGCTTGAATAGTTATTCTGGCTATCTGATGGGCTCAAATTCACTTCATTCATGCTGAAAAGGACTTCTTTCTCACAAAAACAAAATACCTTTTTTAAAAATGTATTTAGTGTAGGGTCTACAGGGTCTCACAACACACATCAGACTGGTAGTGATCCTCCTGTTTTCAGCCTCCCAAATGCTGGGATTGCAGGTGGGAGCCACCAGGCCTAGTCTCAACTACCACCTCAGTGCACCCAGGCGTGGGGCCAGCACGGCACACTGAGGATCCAACCCTGGTCCCTGTGCTTTGCCTAAATGGGTGCTTTAATCTGCTGAGCTATCTGGCCGGCTCTCAAAATATCTTTTAAAACCTTCCACTATAAACACTGATCTATCTATTCATCTTTCGGCTTACATATTTATTCAGTATCTGCTTTGTGCCAGACTAAGTGGTTGTTACACTAAGATAAAGTAAACATAGACTTCTCCTTCAGAAAGTCTACAGTTTTCATTGTTAGGTAAGATGGGTAAGCAATGACAGTAATATACTGGGACTAAAAGCTGCTATTACTATTATAGACAATAGTAATTAAACTTAGTAAACTTATAAAATGTTCTAAGCACTATTTAAAACCCTGTAGAACAGTGAGTGTTAGCAAACCTATGACCCAGGTTATTGCGTTTTGCTTTTAAGACAAAAGATGTTAATATATGAGTTGTTTTTTCTAAACTAAAACTTCTGTATTCAAGTTTCATTGCAGTGTTGGCACATCACTAAAAATAAGTGGGCTTGGAGTTGCAGTGCAGCACTTGGTCTCTGAAAGGCTCACTTTCACTGCCCGACAGCCACCACCTTATTTTGCCTTTGAAACATTGCATGAAATTCTGTTGTCCTTATTAGCACATGATAAGGCTTTTATCATTGCCCAAGATCACAGGGTAAGCCAGTGTCAAAGGTATAACTAAGCCTTACTTGTCTAATAATAACAACAACAACAACAACAAAAACCTACTTGTCTAACCCAGTAACATCCTTCTTAACCATGCCTGTATTTTGGCTGCTCTCAAGGTTTATGGCCACAGGAGGTCAGAGAAAGCTAAAAGGGACAAGCAGCCACTTAGTTAATCAATTGCCTACAGTGTGATAGATGTTTTATTTTATTTTTTAAGATGTTTTATTTTAATTGTCTCACTTCTTTCAAAAATACATGAGAGGGGCCAGTGAGATAGCTCAGTGGACTAAAGTCCCTACTCAGGCAAGCTTAAGCAAAGCAAAGGGACCACAGTTTGATCCCCAGCACCACATGCAGCACCAGCCCCACCCCCAGGGCAGGCTGAGCCAGCCCGAGTCCAGGCCTGGTGGTGCACACCTGTAACCCCAGCACTGGGGAGGCTGACAGCAGGAGGATCACCACAAGTCCCAGCTGCGCAGTGAGACCCTGTAACAACCAAATATATTAGAATAATTTTTTTTTAAATGTGAGAAATACCTTGTTACTGTTTCCATTTGCATAGAGGCTCACAAGTGTTGAAGTTTGGTTGGTGTCTATCCAAAGCAGGAAGTGAATGCCCTGGAAATCAAACTCCTGTCAGGGTGGTCCCATGACTTTTTCTGCTCTTGCCTTGATGCCGATGAGAGGCATCTTAGTTATTTTCCTCTCCTTGCTGAGACAAAATCCCTGAGGCCCCAAATTAAGGGAGGAAAGGTTTCTTAGCTCCCAGTTTATGGCGACTTCAGTCCATACTCAGCTGGCTCCAAGGCAGGGCGGCACGGCACCGGGGCAACACTTGAAGACAGCAAAAGCAGCAAGAGCAAAAGTGGGGAAGGAGCTTTTTTCCTCCCTCATGTGGTAAGCTGGCTCTGAGCCCTCCTTACACAGGCTCAGGACGGTTGCACAGTGAGCACCCTGGCCCCCTGCGGAGTCACCTAGCTAAACTTCTACTCTTCTCCAGTCCAGTCGACACTGTGTATCCACCATTACAAGAGTGTTGAGGGGAAGTACAAAGACGCCGGACATACTTTTCTATTCAGGATCACCTAAGGGACACACCAAACCACACAGATGTTGCTTAAGCGGCCCTTTAGCTGGGATTCCTCGGCTTACCAGGCCCTGGGTCTAAGGAGGCTGTAACTGCCAGGGCACTAAGTGGTCTGGCTCTGCCAAAAGTTCACCTTCCTGTCGCAGTAGCTGAAGTGGAGAGGAGACACAGTGGTGGGAAAGTCCATTTGCATTACTGTGCTTGGCCTTCAGGATAATGACTTTGTGTGTATTTTTTTCTTCTGGGAAGACCAGCACATTTCCTAACGCTAAGTAAAATATTTTTGTAAAACGGAGAACCCCTGAAAGCTTCAAGCTCTTTCTATCAGATTGTTAAGCTGTGCTCTTATTTTTTAAAACTTATTTTTTAACCTCATGTTTTAAAATCCCACTCAGGGAAAGACTTGTTTTCTTTTGTAGATGATTTAAATCACTTCCTGGTATCTGTGAATGTGGCACAGAGGGCGTTTGCCTCTTTCTCTTCATCATACGTACAATGGTGCCTTTGACAGAATTTATAAATCCCAGACTGAAGCTCTGCGCCTGTTTCCAGCAGTGCAGTTTCCAACTTCGCTTTATCTCCTGGACCAAAATCACACCAGCCCCCTTCCCACATCACTTGTCTCTGTCACCCTGTCCTTTGGCACCCACACCACGCCCCTTCCCCCTGCTGGAAATCTCAGTGTGGATTTTGGTAAAGTTGTATGATCTCTGGATCGGCTTACTTTTCCCATGTTTCAGATGCCACCAGAGACTGTAGATTGGTGAAGTGTCTGCTCCCTGGGGTCCCCCTCTCCTCTGGGGCTGGGGTTTTGTATTTATACAGAGAGCAACTCAGAGCTGAGTTATTGCTTCAGTGTCAGGGAGGGCAGAGGGAGAACACTGTGGCCGAGCACAGAATCTGTCTGTGTTAGCCCCTGTCACCGACTGCTCAACCCAGCTTTTGGCTTCACCTAAGTGATAAATGGTCCTATTGTTTGGGCTTCAGTATTAAAAAAAAATAGGGCTAAATCTAGATTAAGCGAGGACAGAGACCCATTTCATTTCACTGTACTTTAATATTCCTGAGATCCGTGGCTTTACGGGTGGCTCCTTTTCCCAGCCATCTCCCTCCAGGGCGGAACACTATGCTGTCTTTGTTTCATCTGATCTTTCAGCTAAATAAGAGATGGTCACTTATCCTCCCGACTCCCATATCCCGCTGGATTTCCTTTGCTAAAAAAGAATCTGGCCACGCAGAAGAAGGTGGAGGTTTCAGGCAGAGCCTTTCAGTGTGTGTTTACAGGCAGGACTCACTTACTCAGCAAATCTGCTCCGAGAAGCTTCAGCCAATGAAGAGGCTATATCCCGGCTTGCTCGGGGGCTTCTGAGTTTGAGCTGCATGCAGAAATGTAAGGCAGTGCTTCCTGGCGCTGATGGCAAAATGGGACCCAGCTCCAGTCATTCCTCAGGCTTCCCAGCGCTGCAGATCTGGGCGAGAACCTACATGAGCATATTGGTGATGTAGCCAGCTTGGAAGGCCGAGAGAATCCTTATGGATTCAGGAGACTGGCTTTTTATTTAGCATTTTATTTTTTATTTGGAAGATGAAATGCTTCTCTCGTTACCTGCCTTACATCTTCAGACCTCCGAACACGATCCTCTCTTCCAGCTGCCACACGGAAGGTACAGACCAGAGAGGGAGAGTGGGTGGGTGGGACACAGTGGGCTGGCGTCTGACTTCCCACAGGTTCTGCTGACGCCGTGTTCTGTAGCTAGTACAAGACTGTCATTCCTGGCAGAAGCCTGTCTGACAGACTTAGTTCTGTTCCGAAAATCAGCCTCTCTTGTATGAGTAAAGGGAAGTATTTTCTGAAGAGCAAAATAATATTGCAGGGGTGATCTCAAAGCTGAGAGCAGGTTAGAATATAATTCAGAGGTATTTTGCCAGTTTTTCTTGTTCCATGTAACATGCAAACAGGTCACTGGAACTCATACTCAGAAAAAAAAAATTACGTGGATGCTGCCTCAGACATTTCTCCAAGCTCTGTTTTGTCACTGTCTGCTTAATAACTTGGTGCATGCCCAAGGAAGCAATTAGCAGAATAGAATTAGCTTGGTGTATGACCACGGAGTGTGGATTGCAAGGCTGGCTCACCTGGTGGCCATTCTTGGGCTGCACAGCAGGAGGAACACAGCTGACTTTTAGCACTTGCTGGAAATGTGGTTTGTGGAGAGCTTACGTTAATGCCTGGCAGACAGGGTGAGCTGAGTCTGGTCGCCGTTGTCCAGTTCCTGTTTCTGTGAGACTTCCCCTTCTGTCTTTATAACCTGGCATGACATGCATATGCGTGTTCACCTCCTGTGTGCACATATGTGTGCCTTGGAAAGATTCTCCTCTTGAACTGAGAAATGCAGGATTCATTCATGGCTTTAGCTAGTCATTCATTTTCTATATATGACTTAGACCTATGTGTTCCTTTAGAACCAAAGTACTCTTAAAAAAGAGAACTGGTCATATATTTTCAGCCTTAGGCACTGTCCTACAAGTGGTACTAGCTGACAGCAGGCAGAGGATGGCGAGGCGCAGGTCGAGCAACCCTCGTTCAGAGCACAGAAGATGGTCAGTCTGCTCTGAAAACCCATTTCTCAGCCTCAGAGTAGGAGTCTAGGATTCAGGGCTATATGTGTGAGACAGGCATGCATTACACCATCGGGGGATTTTTCAGTCAGCAGTCTTAGGAAAAAGGAGAACTTTGAGATAAATATTCAGTTGAGACTATCCCATTTTTTAAAACCTTGTATCACATAGATTTTATTTACAGTTGCATATTTCACAGGCTGAAAGAAATGATCCACTTGGAATTTATTTTTCCTTATGCAGAGAAACCTAGTTATGTACATTTGAATATTAAGAGAGAAAAAAGAAAGAGTGGCTAGGACCAAATCTACAGAACTTTCCAGCTGCAAAAGACCTAAAGCCATATTAGGAAGCTGCCTATTTGGCTTTTGTATTTCTGATTGGCTCCCCTGTCCTCTTCTTCTAACTTAGACTTAGAAATCCAAGCATTGCATCTCTTCAGCTGCTATTCTGTACATTAATCAAGCAAAATATCCTGCATCACACAGATTGTTTAAAATGCCACTACAAGAACTTTTCAAAAACTGCTTTTTACAGTCACATTTGACAGGTTAGTTCCATCAGAGTGGAAAACCTACTTGGTGTCAAAGTAACTTCTGCATTACTATCAGCAGATTTAGGAGTAGGAGTCAAGGATCCATGCATTGAAATGTGTTGTGAACCTAAGAGAGACAATAAGTCAAGATAAAAGTGCTGTCAAACTAACTTCGAGAATGAGGCCCCTGGGGCGTCGTGGATAAAACATGAGCTAGACACCAGGCAAGCAGGGCCGTATCACTAAATTGCTCTGTGTCTAGTTTCATCTGTAACATTGAAGTAAGAAGACATCATTGAATTGAGAATTAAATGTGATAAGCTTCTTCATAAAGCTCAGTATGGATATCTGTTTTTGAGCTCCATGTCCTAGGGTTTTTTTTTTTTTAGATACTCAAGTTTTCTCCTTTTTTTACATTATCTAAACAATGTGTAACTTCCTCAGAACAATCTGTTGCCAAAAATTAGTTATCCTACCTAAAGTTTATCTGAGGAATGCATAAGTTTAGAGTGTGAGTTGGTTTGTTTTGTGTGTGTATTTTTTTTTTTTTTTTTGGTATTATTAGCAATCGTGTCACCTTGGACAAGAGTCTATTTAAGAAAGTTGCAGCTGTGAATTGCATATTTTATTTAGTGAAAAAGTAAAGATTACATAATTTGTGTATATTTCTCTGTCAAACTCAAATAAATACAAATTACCCAAGCAGTCTCCCTAAGAATAATTCTAGAACAACTTTAAGAGCTGTCAGTACCTCCTGGGCTTCTTGAAGGACAGGACCATCATACCTTGATAACTTAGGTTGTCTTCCCAGATTGTTTTGGCGTTGTTTTTGAACACAGGAAAATCAGGGGTTCTGAGTCTTAGCTCTGCCACTTGTAGGTGATGCTAGGTAGTTATTTAAGTTCCCTGAACCTCAGTTCCCTCACTTCTAAAATAGGACAAATAATAATGAATAGATGGTGGCAAAGGAACACATTCAGAAAGCGATGCATAGGATGTTGATAATAATGGCAATAATAAGGACCAACCTTCACTTATATGGAATTTGCTGTCTAAGTCACTGTCTAAGCACATTATGTACAGCAATACGTTTATGCACAGGGTAAAACAAAAACATATGCTTCGCTAATATTAACTCTTTTTTCTTCTCTTTCCTCACTCTCTGCACTCACGCCTTATTCAAACATCTCCAACTTGTCTGTCCTCCTGCCACAGGAGCCAGTGTTGGTTTCTCAAAGTCCTCCCTGCAACCACAGGCTATGGGCTATTTCTCTCTCCCTCCCACCCTGAGCCCCTGTTAATTCTAGCCTTCAATGAGGTTCTCAGCTCCAGCTACAGACTCTATCCCTGACCCCACCTGAACATAGCTCTTGAAGAGTTGAGTATCTTCACTTCAGAGCACTTACCCTATGAGTGAACATTCTGAGCAAACTCATATGACTCTTTTCTTATTGTCTTTCTCCCTGCTGCACTGAGAGATTTGTGGGAGTAGGAACTACATAATTTTTCTCTTTGTTGTACCTCTAGAACTACAACAATACCAGGTATATAACAGGCACTTAATAAATTTGCTTTGAATGAAAGGATGACACATTCCAAGGCTGTTGTATGGAGATATTTTTAAAGCATAAGTGGGAAACACTCCAAAAAGAACTAACTCTGATCTAAGTACAAGGGACCTATCACTGAGGACTGAGAACCTATCTTTAGTTGGCCTTTCAAGGATGGTTTTTATTATAAAGCTTTTCTCCAACTTATAACAAGAAGGCACAAGGACAGCCAAGTAATGTTGATTGATGATCTGAGTTTGGAGATGAGAGTTAGGCTATCTTTTCTTCTCTGTGGACCTCATTAAAGGACCATACAACTTCCCCCACCTTAGCAGAAAAGGATTCATCCAGAAAAATGGTTTCAGGACTGGAGGAATAAAATCCCAATCACAGCAAGAAACAATTTGATATGGGACAGAAGGGAAGCAAAGCTCGCAGGAACGTGAGGCCAAAGGAACCTTGCCTGATTCCTTTAGTGGGCCTAATTTGGCAGCAGATGCAGGGTGGAGGCCTTTTTGGTTATTTAAGCCACCAGGAGAGATTCCTTTTCCTACTGGATCAAAGGTCACGTGCCTCCCCAGACACTCTTTCTATTCTTTAAATTGTTCTTGTCACGTTTCCATATGCAAAACTTTTCTCACCCTTGAAAACTTAGTCTAAGTCTTTCTAGGGAAGACTTCTCCAACAGTCCAAACATAGAACTGTTGCTATGAGTCATGGACCACAATCACAGTGGGAAGAAGCACTGGGGAGCTGCCCGGGCTGGTGGGCCCCAGCTGTGTGCCCAGGGCTGTGCTCTAGCTCTGCCACACCCTCCACAGCAGTCTTTTGTATTAAAAGTCATTATTTCATATAATAGGGGAGGAAACCAAATCAGGCAATGCTCCGACCTCCCCAGCCACGCTCTTACTTAACCTTTGCATTGCACTCCTCCTCCTGAGTGTTGCTGTGAGGACAGCCTGTGTGCTGTATGGGAATAACCTCCTTAATATCTGGCTTTTGGATGAGCAGAAGTCACGTGGATGTGGGGCCGCTTGTCCATTGACCTTCAGTCTTTGTTTTCTGACTTAGCACAGAGCTAGACTGGGTAGATATTCAAGAAATAAATGGAAGGCTGATGAGAAGTCATGTCCATCTTTTAGCAGTAATAGGGTTTCATAGGCAGGAGACATCTCAAAGTAAAGAATCTTCCAGTGACACTGAAAGGCAGAAATATAAAAGATGGAGTGAGGCACATTTTTTAAATTATATTTTTCAGAGAAAGTAATACAAAAGTAAGTCGACATAGTATGTTTACTATTTTGCTAGGTGCAATTCCACTGTGTATACCCAAATGTAGACGTGTTATTTGTGTTCTTGAGTGTGTTCTCCACAACAGTCTTATGAGATACCCACTGTGACTGCCTTCATTTTAATCATGAGAAAAGTTGCATCTGCTAAGTGTAAGGGATAGGATTAGATCCCAGGAAGTGTAGATCCAGGTACATGCTAAGAACTGACCCACTATGATAGACTATTTCTATTTCATATTTATGCAATTCATATTTGTCACACTTTTAAAATTCTCTTCTCAGTCCCTTCCATATATTTAACACTAACCCAGTCTTCCGAGAGTTCATCCACTACACTTTCCTCCCTAGATGCCCACTTGGTACCAGTCTTTCTCACCCCCACAAATACGCACTTACATTTCAAGCATTCTGTTTCTCTGTAACATGGAAAGAGAAATTCCCACCTTTGTAAGGTTGCAGTAAAATCTTACATTATTTTATATTTCTTCATGTCTTAAATTTTTAAAATATTGTGCGCAATGAATGAGCCCAGGCCTCTCCTCCAAGATGGGTCTCATCCCCTCTCCTCTTCAAGTTCATCACTGCTGAATTTGCTCCCACCCTTTCTGTGGGCAGGGGGGCCTGTAATACTCAGTTTGCATGCTTATCTGATAAGTCTGTATCTCCTG